AACGTTGATGATAACAATATTATAATTCTATGAGTTTTATGTTTAAAGTTTAAATCTCTGATAATTTTGCATCAAAGTGACCAATTTTCATAGAATAGATAAAGATCAAGGAATGCTCTTAAACTAGCGAAATGTATATTTTCATGTATCCGCTGCAATAAAGTTGATTGTCTTCTAATTAAATTCGAACCAACGGGAGAATTTAATTTTGAGGAGCAGTTCTATGTTTTCAAGATTATTGAATTTCTATACGTTAATTCTATTTCTGCCCAACGGTGACGTGGAATTAATGTAGAAGAATGATGTTTTATTCTATTTCTGGCCAACGGTGATATAGAATAGAACATAAAGATTTCAAAGTTTAATGAGCATTATTGTTGAATATTTTTTTAGACAAAAGGCTTCCATGTTTTCATTCTTGAAGGCAATAAGAGAAATGAGCTGGATACTTGTGACTCAGATGATAAAATGCCTAAGGGCAAGTTATGTATGAAAGAATGCCATTGCTTAAGGGACTGTGTTCTCTTTTAAAGAATGGCTTCAAAAGAAAAGCATTCTAAGATATTGATCCAAGAAATGAGATAGATCAATGAGAGTCCTCATTGAGAAATGTCTTTTATGTACTCTCTGTGAAGAAGAATTTATTTTCAGTTTCACTTATGAGAGTAGTAAAAGTCATATGCATGTTTAATTTGATCAATGTCAGATTAAGCATGTGTATTAAAGAGTATTCAGATTTATTTCTGAACTTGATGATTGAACACGAGTCAATCCTGGCAATTATGTTCGTTCAAGGGAATTATCTCGCATGGCGGGAAAAGTTTGTGATAGTACCCGCATGGCGGGAAAAGTTTGAGAAAATACCCATATGGCGGGGTAAAGTTGGCATAGTACATATGTTAACCAATCCTGCATGACGGGAGAGTTTGGCATAGTACTTATCCCGTATGGCGGAAGAAGGATATGATGACTCATATGCTCTCAGTGTATTTCGCACTTGGAAAGAAGTTTGGGGTAGCTCTTATGCTATCCTAGAATTGACCGTACACTCTGATTGTGTCATGGTCATTAAATACTCAATGAGCTTAAGAACAAAAGAAAGTTGCATGTGAATCAAAAGATAAGAATGATATGCAAGCATGACTTGTAGAAGTATTGATAATAATAGACTATGTTGAGTTTAGAAGTGTAATGAGAAAAATGTACTCCCATATGAATTTTATTTGCATGATGTAATCATGTGGATGAAGTAAGTAATCAAAGTTTCCTCATTCACAAGAGTTCTAAATGTTTCAAAATTGTGGTAGAAAAGTTCATACCACATTTCGAGGGGGTGAAATGTAAGATTAATTAAGAAAGACAATTAAGAAAGATACTTCCCCATACTTCAGATAATGCAATGCATACTATGCATTGAAGGTAAAAGTGATCTATAAAAGATGAATGTGATCGTTGAGGGGGTAAGACGGTCATAATAACGATACCCCTAAAGTAAAGAAATAGCTAAATTCCTGGACCTTTTACAGTTCCGATAGGAAGATAGCATAGCCGGCTAGTATTTATACTGGACGAGTTCAGAGTTATCAAGGCGGTGCTAAACGCGCCATATGAGTTTTTTTAGCAGATTAAACCTAAAATAAGAAATTTGAAGATACACCATCTTTTCAGAAGATGGAGTAATCTGGGGGAGCATGGTATGTAGATACCTAAGGCTTGAATAGAAGTGGGATTACATATCCACTACAGTGTTTTTTAGAGCAACAAATTGCCTTATACATGCTGATGTTGTATGACATATATAACACCAGATGTTAGCTCTTAAAGAAGATGAATAAGTAAACAAGGATCTTGTGATACAGGAGGCTATAGAACAATTACCTTTTGGCAATGAAGAGTAACAATAGCCCCATATGAAAGAAGTGCCACGAGGCCCAGAAGGTCTCAAAGAATAAGAAAATTAGATATTTTTGACGACTAAGAAGTCAATGTTAAAGAAAGAAATTCAAATAGAGGATAATTTCACCTCATTTGAAAAAGCCATGAGAGGCGTTCACTCGTCTAAATGGCAAGAAGCAAAGGAAGATGAAATGAAATCGATGAATACCAACGATGTTTGGGACTTAGAAGTAATTCCAAATGGAGCCAACACAGTAGGCTGTAATGGGTCTACAAGACAAATGTGACTCCAAAGGAAATATGAAAAGCTATAAAGCGCCACTTGTGGCGAAATGATTTACACAAAGAGAAGGAATATATTATAATGAGCTTGTAAGGATTCTTTTATAATCATAATGGTATTAGTGGCACATTACGATTTACAGTTACATCAGAAGGATGTAAAGACACATTCCTCAACGAGGATTTGTATGGAAACATTTACATGGCATAACTCAAAAGGTTTTGTCGTGGAAGGAAAATAACGTAAAGGGATGTTGCCTAAAGAAATCCATTTATGGATTAAAGTAAGCTTCAAGACAGTGGTTCTTGAAGTTTGACAGTACAATAAGAAAGTTTGGGTTTTAAAGAGAATGTAGAGGACAATTGTATTTATGCAAAGTTTAAACATGGGAAATTTATTTTCCTAATCCTGCATGTGGGTAGCACCTTACTCGCTAGTAGTGATGTTAATCTACTGTTGGAGAAGAAGCAGTTCTTGTCCTCAAGTTTCAATGAGAATGGTCTTGGTAAAGCATCATTCGTTCCAGGAATTGGAACTTACCGAGATAAAAGGAAAAGGGGTATTAGAACTATCTCAAGTGTATACTTAGAGAAGATTCTAAAGAAATAAAGTATATATGTGAATAAACCTGCGCCTGTTCCTATAGTCAAGGGTAATAGTTTTTGGAACTTTTAGTGTTCCAAGAATAAATGTGAGATCGATCAAATGGACGTCCTATATGCTTCAGCTGTTGGAAGCTTACTGAATGCTTATAAGCAAGAACTTACCCTTACACAGTTTATGTATCCGAGATGTTTTGGCAGAAGTCCAGTCCAGATGTAGATTACTGGAATGGAGTTGAGAATGTTTTGTAATTGTGCAAAGATTTATAGGCCTCATGGTGAGTAAGAAAGAATAAGTACTCTCAAATAGTTGTGGGTACAAAAGTTAAATTTTGGCGAGATGTTTAGTGAAACCCACATAGTAGCTAACACTCGCAGTTGGAGTTTTATTGTGGAAAAGCTCCAAAGAAACAGTTGTGGTGTCATCAAAGATGCATAACCATGGTATAGCTTGTTATGAGGCTTAAGGACAGGCGAAGTGGTTAAAAGAACTTACACCCGGAATTGATAATGGTATACAACAGCAATAACCATTTAAGTAGTTCGCTCCTATAACAACGGGTCAAGTGTGCTGCCAAACACATTGACGTTAAAGTTGTACGTTGTGAAGGAGAAAGTCCGGAATCATACTAAATGTATTGGACATATAAGTAACAAGCAAGTGCTTGCGGATCCGCGTGCAAAAGGCTTACCACCCAGTGTGTTTGAAGAACACACAGTCGACATGGGTTTATGGTATAGCCTATGATTTTCGGACAATAAAGGGCCCAAAGTTAAAGAATCTGTTTCAGAACAGAGATGTGTATTGTAGTTGTTAAGTCTATCGGTGATTGACCGTGACGATGAAGCATGCTATATGCACTAATCTGTGATGGAACAAATAAAAGTGAAAAGGATTAAAGTCAAAGTTTAAAGTTAAAGTATGAGTTGAGATCAAGGGGGAAAATGTTGGTTTGATCTCCCAACCACAGTGGCCCAACGGCCACTTGGGCCTTGACCTCGCGCCCTGATCGGGGGCGCCCAGTCCATCTATGGCTGGCGGACCTCCGTCACACTGCGCATTAAATAGAGGTGGGGTCGGCGGCTCTCGGTACGAGGTTCGCCTGAGCCGTACGCCCCACCTAGAAACCCTACTCCGATCTAACAGAGGGGCGCAGCCAGTGGCGGGAAGCACCGCCGCCGCCACGCCACTACACTGCATCACCGTCTCCACTGCGTCGCCTCTCTTCACCGACCGTCGCTGTCCGTGTGCTGCCTCCATCAACGAACCAGCGATGGCCGGATCGAGCTCCAACTCCACGGGATCCACTGGTCTGTGAACTCCTCACTCTCCTCACACCCCTCTGTCTCTCTGTCTCCCTTTTCGGTGTAGTGTTCTAGGTTTACATGTGCATGTGTTATTCCGAATCCATGTGTATCCCTCCTAGATCCACTACTAGATGATCTAAATGTTTTAACAGCTAGCAATACAACCATAAAGGGTTCCACCAGAAAGTTACTCTGGCTACAAACAAACTATAAAAAGAAACAGCATAGCTAGACGACTTCATCAAGCAAATCTGCAGCCCATTGAGATTTGGACACCATTCGGGCTTTGGATAAACCCATTCCCTCCCAGTACATGTGGACTGAAGAGGGAATGAACTAATTTCCCTCTAAATCCCCTCCCAATCCACTACAATCCGCGTGGGGAATGGGTTCATATCCAAACAAGTCCTTAGTGCCTTAGTGCCAGTTAACCTAGAAAAGGATCCTCCTGTAACATTTTTCTAATCCCTTAGCAGAAGAATATTTCAGAGTTACAAACGTGAATTATTCTATCTATCCAAATAAGACGCGTACGACCCTAATTCTGCATTTTCCACATTGGTTGGAGCAAATCTGCCAGGAATCGCGGGTTAGAACATCTGTAATGAAATTGACATCTCTAAAAAATCATTATAAATTCCTTCGTGTAACTTTCTCGCATCACTCCAAGTCTCTAAGACTCGAATAGTCGAATTAATCTAAGAGATGAACAAAGAATATTCTCGAGGAAGGGGAACAGAAGAATGCGCTTTAACTCATATGGAGGGGAAAGGACGACTGAAAAAATTCCCCCAGCTTCACCTCTCCCATTTTCATTTGTTTAGGATTATCATATTCTTGAAGCCTACCTTGTCTAGTAGCACTGGTTCATGGTGCGCGTGAGAGGGAGAGGTAGGAAGGGAGAGAAAGACCTGAAGACGACGACGGGAGCGGAGGCGACGATCTCCTTGGCCTTGGCGAGCGCCACAGCTCTCGATTCCGGGTTGGAGGAGGAGGAGGAGGAGGAGGCGATTCCCATCTCTGCCGCTTCCCGCCCCTGTCTCGTATTTATAAGGTAGGTAGGGGGCGAAGAAGGGCGGCGGCGGGGCGGTGGTGGTCGCTGGGTAGGGACTAGCCGACTAGGTAGCAGGGAGTAGGGAGTCAACTACGCGGGCGAGGCCGATGTGTGCCGTATCCGTATGCCCGTATGACAGCCGACGATGCGAGTAGCCGAGTCCGCATCCGATGACCGCCTTGGCACGCATCCCCACGGTGTGCACCGGTCACGGGTGAAGCATAGGAATTTCGTAGGATCGAGGATTCGTTTGGAATGGTTATTAGGCCTGGTATGGATCAAAGGAATTTCAAAGGTAATTCATAGGAATCCATTCCTTTGGAAATGTTTCTAGAAATACTGTTTGGAATGAAGGAAACTTCAATAGTAAAACAAAGAAAAGTTTCCTACCTCCATTCATTTCACGGGAAACAAAACATGCAGTCCAAACCAATGGATTCACGAAGACCGAGACAGCAAGAGAAGAGAAACAAAAAAAATAATGTTACTTCCTGCGTTTTTCCTGTGTTATAGATTCATGCGTTCCAAACACCCATTCTAGTTATTTCCCGCGTTTTTCCTTTCCTCTGTTTTACCACTACACACTCACCCCATTCATGCGTTTTTTCCTATTCCCGTGTTTTTGATTCCTGCGTTCCAAACAGGCCCTTATTGGTCTTTCGTTCACGGGAATAAAGTTGATCAAATTCATAGAAACACTGTGCAAACCTATGAAAACGAAGGAAACTTAACATCCAATCGGACCTCTTTTTTATACGAAAACCGAGGCAACTCTCCTCGTTACTTATATCAAAGACGTGCAATAGTCAGTAGCAAGAATAAAAAAAAGGTATAATACTAGTGACTAGATGGCTAAGAAATTGTATTACTGTTGCAAGCATATATTCTTCCTTTCATATGTTCCAAACAAGCATTTCTATTTATATCCTCTGTTTTCCAATCCTCTATTTTCCACATGCAATCCTATCATATCCATGTGTTTCTCCTATTCCTACGTTTCTCAAATCCTGCGTTCCAAAGGAGCCCTTAGGTCCACTTAGCTAACAGTGTTAGATGAAAGAAGGGAAGAAGGCGCGTTTGGTTCGTTGCCAAACCGCGCCGCACATTTCACGTCGTAGTTTGAGCATGCGTTTGGTTCGCTCCTGCAATAGCAGCATGCCATGGTCACGCCATCGCACGCTAGTTCATTTTCGATACCAAAACGTGCTGTGGTTGCAGCGGACGAATTTGGCGCCACAGTTGTGGCGCTGCCGCAGCTGAGGCGTGGCATTCGGCGGCAGGAACCAAACACGCCCTATGTTAAATGAAACCGACTAATAGGTACTCATTCCATCCTAAATTTTAAGGCATTCCAACTTTCTTATAGAGTCAAAACATCTTAAGTTTAGCTAAATTTATATAATAAAATAATAATATTTATGATACTAAATAAGTATCGTTAGATTCTTCGTTAATTATATTTTCATAGTATATTTATTTAATATCATAAATTTTTATAATTCTTTTTATAATCTTGATCAAACTTGAGATGCTTTGAATCTCTAAGAAAGTTGAAATGGCTATTAGCTATGTTAGCAAAGAATTCTGGTTAGCTGGTTGGTAACCAATTATTAGTTGGTTGGTAACTAATTATTGGACATGTTGGATATCATGGGTTAATCGTTAGCTAGCTAATTTTTAGCTCAAATCCTAGTGTATCCAAACATGAGAGCTAACTAGCTAGCTAGCCAACCACAACTAATTTGAGCTAATTTTTAGCCCCAAATAGTAACTACTCATATGTGTCAAACAGGCCCATTAGCTGCTTGGTAAGTATAGTTGAATAGTAGTTAAAACATTAACTGGTTTATTAGTTAAGAATTCAAATATGATCATAGCTAATTTTTAACAGCTAACTGTTGTCAAAACAGAGATACTCGTCCAGAGCACCAAACGTCCAAATCATCTTACGAATCGATACCGGCTACTAGTAATAATCACACCTTAGAGCACCAAACCACTTTCGAATCGTATCCTAATATCGCATTAACAGAATATAAAGTATCGATTTGAGCTTAAATTACAAAGTGTTCACAATTACTCATACTTCAAATTATAAAACGTTTTAACTATGTATCTAGACATATTATATATAATACGGAGTGTCGGGTTCATAAACCCGGGGTCCCTCGAGGACCGGCTTCTACGCCAGGGCTCGGCCCAGGAAAATAGCATGTAGTTCGTGGACCGGCCCAAGAGCCTAAGACACGACGGGCCGGAGGGACAGTCCAGTTGCCGACCGGAAGGTCTACCCAAAAACAGGCGCTCACTCGTCAACTTCTCCGGCCCACCTCTCCGACCGGAGCATTCGCTTTGGGCACCAGCCGCCTCCGGGCGGTCTCTCCGATCGGAAAGACCTGGCCCAAAACATCACTTCATACTCCGACCCAGCGTCTCCGACCGGGGACCCCGTAGGAGGCCTGCTTACCACTCTTCTCCGACTGGCGCAGCCAGGGCCGACCGGGGACACCCGCTCGGAAGGGACCAGGGGCAAACGGAGAAGGCAGTGCACAAAGTCAGACCACGATACCAGGACCATACCCTGTACGCCTGCGGGAACAGTGCTACTCAACCGCCCTGACACAGACAGTATTGTAGGCGCCGACATTTGTGTCTACAGTATTGTAGGTGCCATTGGGCTCCCACACGGCAAAAGGCCCCCACATACCTCTGGGCATCGATAGTGGGCGCCAGGGTTCACCTTACCTGGTACGCAGGGTAGGGCTCCTCACATACCAATAGTAGTTTGCAGGTACCGACATCCACCCTTCCTGAAGAAGCCAACGCAACCTCCCATGTGCACCTGACATTCTACAGTGACATCAACAGTATTGTGGGTGCCTACCACCATCGCTACCCTCGTCGGCGTGGGAAACAAGGCTTAGAAACATCCATACTCTCTCCCTCTCACTTGTAAAGCCATCCCCTTTATCTATAAAAAGGGGATGTGCTCCCTCCAACGAGCGAGGTCCACTTCTTCAAGTTCAGACTCACTAGATCGATAGCTCACAAACCCCTCAAGCACACGCTTGAACACCTAGCTCATAGTGGAGTTCCGGTCGCCCTCGGCCCTTCCGGTCGGACCCGACCGGGCCTCTCGTACACCCCTCCTTTCTCCTTCTCGTTTGTAACCCTACTACAGACTTCGAGCACCTAGACTCAGAAATAAAGTCACCGACCGACCCACACTGGACGTAGGGCACGTTGCCTGAACCAGTATAAATCATGTGTCATTGAGTGCTATGCCACCTCCGATCACAACGTACAGTAAAACTACAAATATTCACTAGTTGGTCACTTTCTGTACTGACACGGAGTAAAAGATATATGCTAGAAGAGTCAAACCGTCTTATAATTTTAAATTGATGTTGTCAAGGGTGTTGGTGCCCAGGACAGGGGGGCCTCGACTGCCTAGTTCGTAGCCTGAGCAGATAACGGCGTGGGGTTGATCCCCTGGACGCCCAATTGTGAAGGAGGTGAGATTGAGAGAAGCAGAGGGAGATTAGGAATATGTTTGATATTTCTTGCTTCACTCATTCATAACTGGTTTTCTCTCCCTCTCATTAACTCTAATCCCTCAACCAACACACTAATTCCCATTGATTGCAGCCGGCTACGCATGCACCTCCCTAGGTTTTGACCCCTAACCGGCAGCTTAACTGCCATTGATTATGGCTGTCTCAGAATGCAGCCATGCACCTCCTTGGGCGTGCCCCTGGCAGCATCTCGAGCCCTGAAGCTATGCTGGTAATGTCGGCCCCACATAACATCTCTCTCTCCCTCGACGAGCAGCTCGTCCTCGAGCTGGAAGGATGGTTAGCGGTAGAGGAAGCCGTCGACATCTTCTCAGGTGGTCAGTGCAGCTGGTTTGTCTTTCCAGTGCATGAGAACCTAGCCAAGACCCTGGACGAGGCGCGTGGGGGCAGCATGATTTGAACACCGTATCATCATGGTGGGTAGGCGGCGGCGCCGGTGGTCCAGCCGGAGGGGTGCCAACCAACTTCTTCAAGAGCCAGCAGACCGGATGGTCTTTGTGCCAAAGGACATGGTAAAGGCCGCAAAGTCCCAGAGAACCGGTCCCAGGGAAGCCAGCCACTGGGTGTCGAGGACGACATCGTAGCCGGCTAGCGGTAGCGTGAAAAAGTTGGTAGTGAAGACCTCGCCATCGATGGAGAACAACGCCCGTCGATACATGCCTAAGCACGGCACATGCTTGCCATTGGCCATGGTGACGTATGCAGAGCTGCAACAGACCATGGGGAGTCCGGTGCGGCTAGCCACCCCCTCGGCGATGAGGTTGTGCGTCGAGCCTGAGTCGATGAGGACGTGGACGTTGACATCGCCTAGCCAGAGGCACACCTGCATGGTGTTGCCGGTGTGGACGCCGTTGATCGCGTGGAGCAATAGCTGCGGTGCCATAGTGTCGAGGTCGTCGGGGGCGACGTCATTGTCATCATCCGCTGCCGCCAGGTCCAACAAGAACAGGCGCTGGCACACTTGGTTGTGACCACGCCTGAACTTTTCGTTGCAATTGAAGCAAAGGACGAGCCGGCGGCATTCTTCCATCTTGGACATTGACAGTCACCTAGACCTGAGCATTTTGCGGGCCGGGTCGAAAAAAAGCCCGGTTGTTTTGGGCCAAAAAAGTCTCACGCCATGACCGTCCCGCTGGGTAGGTCGGGCCTGGGCGGGCCACCTGCACATTTCATAGTGTAAAATAGCAAAAAATAGTATTTCGGCCCGGGCTCGGGCCAAGAAAAAATCTTCTGGGCAGCAGAATCTCTGTCCAGTAAGGTTCATGGGCGGGCTAAAACCCATCGAGCTCGGGCTGAGCCCGCGGGCTGGGTCGGGTCGGGCTCATTTTGCTCAGGTATACAGGCGCCTGACGGGGCGACGCTCCACCGTGACGGTGGTGGCTGCGGCAGTCGCGGCAGGTGGCGGAGTTGGAAGAGCGAGACGTGGTGGAGGTGCCGCAAGGATGCCCTGCTGCTAGTCGCTTGGTGGTGCGGGAGGCGGAACAGCCACAACTGCATACTTCTCGTGGAGCTCCAACTTGCGAGCAAGGCTCATGGCGACAATGAGGGACTGGGGATTGTGGAGCTCGACGTCGAGACTAAGAGGCGGCTGCAGTCCGGCCGTGAAGGCTTGGACGCGTTGCGCCTCCAAGAGTGTGCCCGCGCGTGGGAGCAGAGCCTCGAACCGGTCCTGGTATTCAGCAAAGTGCCGGTTGGCTTGCATGCCATCGGTTCCCCGAGCGGATTGGAGCGGATTGGCGGCCTGAACCTAAGGTTCAAGAGCTCGGAGAAGCGGCGCCATGAAGGTGTGCCTTCGTCCTGTTGAACTTGGATGGACCACAGCTAGGTGCCACCTTCCAGATTGTAGGAGGCCATCCACACTTGTTCCTCCGTGGTGGTGCGCTGCTGATGAAAATAGGAATAGCAGCGATTGAGGAACGCCAGCGGATCCAATTTGCCATCGAACTTGGGGAAGTCAAGCTTCTGAAAGCGGGGAGGGCGATCGCCATGTTGTTCGCCCTTGCCTAATCCCCTGGAACCAGATAAGGAGGCTGCCGCAGGCCGCTCCAGTTGTAGGGCGGCAACCTGCCCTTGAAAGGCACTGACGGAGGCCGTGAGGGTTTGGATGAGCTTGGGCAAATCGGCCGTGGTGGGTTCAGCCATGGGCAAGGAGACAGAGGCAAAGGAGGGTGAAGATGGTGGCGCGGAGGTGGCTGCTGGAGGAGGCGGCGCAGGAGTGGATGAGGATCGCTGGAAACCCGATACCAGGTTGTCAAGGGCGTTGATGCCCAGGACAGGGGGACCTCGGCTGAGTAGTTCGTAACCTGAGGAGATAACAGCATGGGGTTGATCCCCTGGACGCCCAATTGTGAAGGGGTTGAGATTGAGAGAAGCAGAGGGAGATTAGGAATAGGTTTGATATTTCTTGCTTCACTCATTCATAACTGGTTACAGGGTATAAGTAGAGGCACCCAACCTCTTAGCTCTTGGACTCCTCGTTTCTCTCCCTCTCATTAACTCTAATCCCTCAACCAACACACTAATTCTCATTGATTGTAGCCGGCTGCGCATGCACCTCCTTGAGTTTTAACCCCTAACCGACAGCTTAACTGGCATTGATTACAGCTATCTCAGCATGCAGCCATGCACCTCCTTGGGCGTGCTCCTGGCAGCATCTCGAGCCCTGAAGCTATGCTGGTAATGTCGGCCCCACACAGATGTAGTAGTAAGTAGGCAAGTAGGAAAATTCCTGAAGAGCGACATGAACACAGACTCACCAAGCTCAGGCATGAAGTTATATATGATTATATGTATATCAGTCTTCAGATAAAGTTATGGAAAATGAAAAATAACGCGACGTTAGTCTGACTAGTAATGTATTAACTCAATATCGCTCTGAATCCGTTGATCAACGGGCCATTATCATACCCAACCATAAAATGCTTGGCTGAAACAAAAAAACAAATGTTTTGAGATCCGATTCATCTCACCATCCCTATCAAAAAGTGCGCCGAATGCACAATGAACCAGTTCATTCTGTTTCAAGATTCAGGTTCAAGATTACACAGTAGCTGGTAGTTGAATCTTTCCTCGCAGTTGCTGTGCGACTGCATCGATGAACTCCTCGGTACTCAGGTAGAACTCCCTTGTTACCCTAGCAACAGCAAAAAATTCAGGTTCATGTAAATAGCTGGTGATGTAAAAAATAGCACCGCAGAGGAAACAAGCCACATAACACACTGCTTTAAACAAATAAGATTCTTGTGTCTCGAGTCAGGGAAAATAGCAGGATCTTAATCCAGTGACTTAATCACCACATGGTTAGCTATTGGCTATTTATATAATAGCTTAAAATTCATTAAGCTTGTGTCCATTGCTTACAAATTCAGAAAGAGGCATCTGTAAGCACGGAAATTACCATGTTAAGAAATATCACAAGCTAGTAAAAAACGCAATTATGCAGAAGATTTTGTTGGTCTATAATCATGCTGAGGAACAGTAAAAATCCGGATCCTTTCTAATGTAACTGTTTGGTCCTTGATGCAATTGCAATAACACAAACTTGATGTTTGCCTTATGTTAACACTAATATTATTAAAATCCATGCAAAGCTATATTCTATCTGTCTTGCTTTTCAGCATCGAAGGTGATGTATGTTCCTTAATGTGATACTATCGTTTTGCTGCCATATCAATAAGCTTCCATTCAAAATGGCATCAGCAATTGAACATTAAGTTTCTGAATAACAAGAAAAATACTGAAGACATATACATAAATCAGCTTACTTGGGGCCATGGATAAGAAGTGCAAGGTCCTTAGTCATTTTCCCAGATTCCACCGTTTCAACACATGCAGATTCAAGTTTGTGTGTGAAATCCAGCAGACTATCATTTTTGTCCAGCTTTGCCCTAAACAGACAAAGATAGCATTATTGCATTAGCAGGTACACAAGTAGATGAACAAACACAAACATAGCATGATTCTGTTTGTTCATGTCCACAGTTTCACAGGTCGTGTGGAAAGCTCATCGTTTACTCCAACAAGAGTAATCACCTGTGCTCAAGTCCACGGGTCCAAGCGAATATGGAAGCAATACTGTTGGTACTTGTCTCCTGTCCTTTCTGATGTAGCCTGAAGTGTCTAGTGACAGTCCCATGAGCAGCCTCAGCCTCTAATGTTTTCCCATCAGAAGACAACTATAGAAAGAAACTGGTAGTGAACAATCTAATAATATAATAAAAGAAGATTAGAGACATCTACGCAGCCTAGTGGTCTAGATAACAAGGATGTGCCATTTGAGGCCATGAGTTCGAGTCCAAATTCCCATTTCTTTAATAAAAAATGCACATCTTATCCTAGTGTGTGCCTTTGTTTTTTATGCTATGGGCTTTGCATTGGTGCAAAACATAACACAACGTACCAGCACAGACGTCATCAAACCCAGAGAACCAAAACCTGAAACAAGCATTCATTAAGAAAAGCAAATTATTAGGAAAAAGGAAAAATGGAAAAATAACCATATTGTAACCAAGGATGCTGCCTATTATCACCATGCAGTTTCATGAAAGGTAAATCGTGTTATCTCAATAAAGGGAAGTATATTCAAACCAATAATTGTATGGCATCCTCCTTATCCAGTTGCCTGTGATTGCAATGATTTGTTTTAACGGAAGTTATTTTCATGCCGGTATGGTGAAAATTTTCTACCGCACAGAGTGCTAGTGGAACAGTACCCAGGGAGAGAAGAGGGGAATGCGAAAGTTGCAGGGAATCACGGAGGCTTCTCTCTCCTCACTTCTTCCACACCACACCACACCTGTGATGTCCCTCTCTCCACTTATTTTGCTTTTGATGATGAGTAGATGAGTGCTCTGCGCACGTCACAGGACCGCCGGTGTGGCTCATACACCCCGGCGGCGCCCACAACGATGGCGGCCAGTGCGTCACCCTGTGCCTGCACTGCAGGAGAAGGATTTGCAGCAGCAGAGGTCCGGCAGCGTGGTGGCGCCGGAACTTGAGTGGCCCCCACCAGCGTCAGCAGCGAACGGCTGGGAGAAGAGCAAGCAGCTAGTGGAGGTGGACTTGCGGCCTGGAGCGGCGGCCACAGCAACGCTGGCCTCAAGCCTGGCAAGACGCTCACAGATGGTCAGACGCAGGCAGCGCAGGAGCCCGTGAGGGTCTCCCCTGGGTGGAACTTTTTACTGAACGATTGGATCGTCAGTTGCCGTTTGTCTCCATCTGAGGTTGATCTGGACGACAGAACGACGGTCCAGATAGGAGGGCACAAAAATTGTTTTGCATTCAAATTTGCAATAACAGGAAGGGAACTTGAGCAAACCTTGGGCAAGAAAATCGCTCTGTACGTCTCCGTCATAGTTTTTGCAAGCCCAAACATACCCGCCATCACTTTTCACAGCATAGGCCACCATGTCATCAATCAACCTGTGCTCATACCTGCATATGACATGTAAAGATTGTTTGTCCTTTGAGAAAAGCTATCATAATCAAAATCTGGATAAATTAGCACAAACCATATTGAGTTTTCTTCAAACTTGTCCTTCCATTGCTCTTCATATACCTCCTGGAAGATGTCTTTGAACCTATATAATTCATTTCAAATTTGCATATGTCAAGATTGGACTGGTTTAGTATAAAAACAGAGAAAGACCAAGTTCACTGATAGATTTGTAATAATAAATATTCAGTAGTAACTTAACACTGAGGGAAATAGCTGGTCAGCTACGTCAGACAGTAAGCTCATTTACAGTCCAGACTTCAGAGAATAAGATCAAACTCTGTATACATTTCCACAAACAATAGAGGGAAGGGTCCTTGAGGCAGTAACAAAGCATGATATAACACTATAACAGCAATATGAGGGGAAAAACATACTACAATGAGAGAAGGATGGCAATCAGAACCTTGCATCATATTTTTCTAATATAGTATTCTTCGTACTGAGATAAAGGGTTAAAGGGGAACTATTTAGAAAGTGTCATTGACATTAAACTTTCAGCAGCAACATGTGCACATCACCATTTTTGGAAAGTGCCATCGAACGGGGATCATGGAAAGACACTCTAGCCCCCATCTGAACCCTCCCCACTGAGACTTGGTAGTTTTTTAGATTGCAAAGAATCTACTAAAGAACAATTTAAGGGGACGATCATAATGATAAAAAATGCAATAGTAACTGTAAACTGAAGAAAATTCACAAAGGTATAGGTTTTCCTACAAATAATCCTTCGTGGTATCATAACAGTGAAGACACACAGTTACTTGTCAGTTATGTCAGACAAAATGCTTCAGATTTCAGGGAGCAAGATGAAACTATGTAAGTATGTATCACAGAACCATCATAGAGAAGGGTCCTTTGTAGTCTTTGAGCCGACAAAAGAATGTTTAAAGATCAAAGGATGATGATTCCTACCTGCCGTCATACTTTTTGAGGATTGTATTCTTGGTGCTGAGATAGAGTGGCCACTTTTTTGAAAGAGCCATAGCCATGGAGGACTCAGCGAAAGCCCTAATAGACTAAATAGAGATAGGAAGTTAGAATACCAGTCAAGAGAAGATAGCAGTTAGCAACAAGTCCTATTGATGTTCTACCATACCTCATCGACATTGTACATTGATAATGCCACACCAGGTCCTTTAAAATCATAAACATCCAGCTCCATGGGGTCAGCTCCATCAGGCACTGATTTTTTCAGTAGCAACAAAGAACATATTAGAAAATTACCATAGCAGACCTTTAACAGGACAAGACATAGTTGTCAACTGGAGCTCACCAAATACCATCTTGAGCTTTCCTGGACCATTAATAATCATATCAGTAGCTCGATACTGGTCACCAAAAGCGTGCCTTCCTATGCAAATAGGTTTCTTCCAACCTAAAGAATGAAATTTCATTAATCTGGCAATTTTATTATTTGTTGCACTGAGCACACTATACTGTACAATTTACTTACCAGAAAGAATTCTTGGGATGTTTTTACACAAGATGGGCTCACGAAAAACAGTCCCTGCCAAGGGATGGATGCTAAAATTTAGCTATCAAAGATCTAGGACAATTCATATAATTTTCCAGTATGTTAAACCTTATATTTCAAGAAATAAGAAAGAGCAGAGAGTGAACCATTTAGAATATTCCTTATTGTGCCATTTGGACTCCGCCACATAGACTTGAGTTTAAACTCTTTTACTCTACTCTCATCTGCATATAAATAAATGCACCTTAATTCCCAAATATATAACATAATCAAATATGGGAAACCAAAGTTGAAGGGACTTACCAGGCGTAATTGTTGCACACTTAACAGCAACATTATACCTGTTGAGGCACAAAACGGGATTTTATCAATGCGAAAAGAATGTACAAAATGATTTTACACATAAAATTGTGTCGTGGTACTTCAAAGCAAATAAAGTTCACAGAAGGTGCAGCGTGATTCTGAGACGAACTATAATTAATAATTAACCTCAGGACACTAAGATTGTAAATCATGTTCACCAGAACAATAGTAGAAGAGCGGACAGTTTAATATTTAGAGAGCCAACCAAAATTTCTAGTGATTGGGTGCTGGATAGCACCATTACACCAGAATGTATTACTAGAAATGCGTACAGCTACAGAAATCCTATGTTATTACAGAATAAACTGGGAACTGTAAACATTTAAGTCTCTTTAGTATTGCCAAAAAGCAAGGACTTATCCTGCGATTGAGAAAATGCACACCACTGTAGATATTTGATTGACTCTTCATGGAAACCTTTCCGGAAAAAGGAATCCAGGAACTTTAAAGGGGGAATTCCTTGTGTGCCATTAAAAAAGATCGCAATGCCCTGTGTGCCCCTGAAAAAGTTCAGCGGTCTTCAGCGCCACTGCTTCAACTTTTTTGTGCCCTCCATGCCACTGCCGTCAGTTTGGGCTCTAATGCCGTCAAACTGCAGGTGTGAAAAGTCGAAAATACCCTTAAGTCTAAATATGTCATTAATTTTTTTTGAGCGTATTTTTATATGAAAATTATAGGTCTCGACGAGATCTACAACTTTCTAGTTTTGAGTTTTTTCATTTGAGGTCGTTAAGATGCTCAAAAAAAATTAATGACATATTTAGACTTAAGGGTATTTTCGACTTTTCACACCTGCAGTTTGACGGCGTTAGAGCCCAAACTGACGGCAATGGCATGGAGAGCACAAAAAAGTTGGAGCAGTGGCGCTGAAGACCGTTAAACTTTTTCAGGGGTACACAGGGCATTGCGATCTTTTTTAATGGCACACAGGGAATTCCCCCAACTTTAAACCCAACACCTTAGTGCTAGTGCTTATAACCTTCTAATAAGTGAGGGTAATTGCCATGCGTGCACGGTATTTACATGCTCTGAACAATTATTCATGATTAAGCAATATGAATGAAGAAATAAGTAATAACGATTGTCAAGTCAGTTAGATGATTATGCCCCATGAAAAGCCCTCGAACCTTGTTCCTAGATGCTTTGGCGACAAAGTTACCGACAAGAACAATAATTGGCTTAACATCAGCCTAATCGGGACCCCGAGGGGATAAAACAGAATTAACACTTACTTCAATGCAGCCTCGGCACTCTCGACAGTGACCTCATCATTGGTAGCATCGCGATTGAGAATTCCAAGATCATAGTACTTCACATCCAGCTCCAGGTACGGGAAGATGAGCTACACAGTTCAACCCCATCCCACCCCACTCACATCAGCGAACCATCAAGTGATCAAATTATAGGTTACTATCTATCAAGAACAGCAGAAAACAATATAGGAATTCCACATACCTTATCCTTAATCATCTTCCAGATGACCCGCGTCATCTCATCCCCTGAAATGAAAACAAAACAATCAAAGCAGTCAAGTCATACTCTCATCCACACGCCTACGCGAACGAAAGGGAAGAGGGGCGGGAGGCCGACGTACCGTCCATCTCGACGATGGGATTCTGCACCCTGATGCGGCTCTGCTCAGTCACCGCGGCGGCGGCGGCGTAGCAGCGGAGCGAGGCACCGCGGAACACGCGGCCGCTCCCGGGCACAGGGAGGCGCGCTGGAAGCAGGGAAGGGAGGCGGCCGCCGCGGGTGGGGTTTAAGGGCACCAGTGCTTTGGCCGCCGCGGCGGAGCCGGAGACGGTAGCGCGAGCCATGGTGGGAGCGGAGAGGAGGCGGCGGGGCAGCAGCAGATTGCGCATCCCACGTGCCGAGCGCGTGAAGGAGCAAGCGCGCGTGTGGGCGCCGGTGAAGGGGAGGGGGGCGAGGAGGCCAGGCCGGGGCCGGCGCGGGCGAGAGGAGCGTGGGCGTGGCGTGGGGACTGGCAGCGCTGGTTGAGCCGGAACCGGAAGGGAGAAAACGTGCCCGACCCTACAATTCAGGCAGGCGTCGAGCGTCGCGTTAGCTTAAAACCTGGTGCGGGAGCGACTGCAGTTCGGCTCGAGCAGTTCGGCTCGAGGTCACCTTCTTCTGAGTTCCGACGGCTCGACGAGCAGTTGTTTTGGACTTTTTTTTTTTAGCACTCAGAGCCTGTTGGAACGAAGAAAGATCCCCTTTTTAAATTACGAGTCGTTTTAGCTTTTCTGGTCATTTTTTTTATGTATCTGGATTTTAAACATAGCGTAGTATCTGGATGCATAATTAAAATTGTATATTAAAAAAGTTAAAACGTCTAGAGGGAGTATATTGGTTTTGGAGGATTCTGTGATGGATGATCGAGTGCCAACCGCCTATATTTTCTCCGTTAGATTTTAGGAGAGGTCACTACGATTTATGGTTCATACTATTTTTCTCTCTAAACTTATTTATGAAATTTTTCTCATCAAGTTTGCTCATATGAACAGCATGTTCGCTTGTTAGTTTCAGCCAGGGCTTATCAGCTATGGTATAATATTTTTATCTCACAACAAATCAGCACCAGCCGGGCTTATCAGTCCAGAAACCAACCAGCGAACAGGCTGAATATATGTTATTTAAAAACAAGAGAACAGCATGAGCCGCCCTGGCCTCAGCGTGGCCGCGTCATCGAAACGAATGCCGGCAGTGGGATTTGGATCTAGTGGTGGCGCAATGGACCTGGCCACCAGCGCTACAGGAGTCTCTGCGGTGCCGGTCAGAGGGCCTGCGCACCTTTGCCGTTGTCGCTCGGAGATTGGCCCGCCCAGCTCGTTGTCTATCAGGGATTGGTTGACGGCTCCGGTCCCAGCAACAGTGGCGCTTGGAAAATCTGCCTTTTGCCGAGCCTGCTGGGCACGTGCGTGGGTGCGGTGGTGTGCGATGCAGACCAGCCTCACGCCACTACCAGCGTAGTCCCACAGCCACAGGTAGCAGGCAGCGGAGGGCCCGCTGCTCAGTGTCACTTGGCGGCAAGGGGCCGCTCCTCCGCCGCGATGCAAACCAGACGCGGCGTGGAGTAAAGACGCCGCGCGCCCCTCGGTTCTATCTCCCCAGTCCCCTGTTGTCCTGCCGACTGCGATAGGTGAGCCGCCCGACCTCTCCCCGTCCTCGCTTTTCCATTCATTTTCCCGCCCGGGTGGTGCGGGCGGTCGGCGCAGCGGCCCACCGAGGTAGACTGCCATATCGCCTCTCCTATCTCTCTCCCTCACACTTTTTAACACTGGTGAAGCTAAGATCTCTCAGCACAAACAGCGGTGGTAGTAGAAGAGGAAGGTCGCCTGCGTAGAACCCGGCGGCGACGGCTCGCCGGCTCTGGGTCTTCGCCATCGCCACTGCCTACCAGGAGGAGCCGATGCCGCCGCCTGCCAGGAGGGCCCCCTCAGGCTCGGCGGCAGGCATAACGGGAGCGGAGGCGGCGCTCCGGCCAAGGACGTGGCGGATGCGCGTCGACCCGCCCCCTCCCAGAAATAGTGCCTACTAGATCCAGCGTGCGGGGCCACGACGATGACGGCAACGGTGCTGTGAAGCACCAAGACAGAGGAGGCGGCTACGGCGAGCTCGGCCATCTTCCGATCTTGACAGGTACCCTCGCTTCCGCCTCCGGTTGGTCTGATCTGTCCAAACTTTTTTTTTTTTGCTTCTCAAATTTTTTTTCTCTTGTTGTCTTATCCTGTTGACCTCGATGATGTCGTGGTTCCTGTCCGATGCCGCTCCACCTCCATCTCCACTCCCATCTCGCCACCCCGAAAACCTGTTGCTCTTCCATGCTTTTCACATTGCCTCGCCCATTGCAACTATGTTTCCTCCATCATGATTTGCCATAGGATTCCCCTGGTTTCGTGGTCAGGGGTTTGGGCGTGTTGCAGGCCGAGGTTCCACACTTCCACTGAGATTAGTGATGGATTGTCTCTTGTTTGGTTGATTTGGTGTTAACATTTTTAGGAACTTTCTTTTGTACCGGCATAGATGCACGGATGCTTCTTGCTTCATCCGGCTTGGATTCCTCTGAAATTACAAATTGCGGTTTATGCATCTAGGTAATTCGTTTGGTGATTTGTGTGTCCGGACAGAAAAGTGTTTGATTTTACATTGTGTCGATCTGCAGCATAGAAAAAAAAAAGAACCCTAACCAGGTTTGTATGTAACTATTCAGGTCTAGAGTTAAGTGATTCACACACTCGAGAAATAAGATGGTTTGCATCTTAAAAACAAGAACCCTTGGTAAGTCTACATAAAATGGAATGTTGTTCTTTCCTGATTTAGAATTGTGATAACAAGTGTTTTTTCCAAGGCTAAGAGGGAAAATTATACTAGTTGCCTCTTCAGTTAGCTGAGCAGATAGAGCAGTGTTCTTTCTCCCTCTATTCTTTGTTCTATACTTCCAATTATATTTGGCTCACTACAATGGATTCTTATATATTAACATAGTGCTGCCTACTATATAAAAAAATCTTTTATGTCCAAATTAATATATGTACATATAGAATAATATGTTCATTCGTATTTGAACTCTCCTGCTTTATCTACCTGGAAAATTAGTTGCGTTGCATCTCAGAATTGCCATTCAGTAGTGTTACACCTATGTACATCGTTGTAGTGAATTTTAAGAATACTTTGGACGCGATCACTTCTACTTCCATCTGTTTACTGAATTGGGCGAGCTTTGCTAATTCTTAATCAGATGAGATTGAGATACATGTGTTAGTTTTGCTTTGGTAGTTCCTGGTAAGATACATGTCTCCTAATAATTATATGGAAAAAAGGTACATGCATCTATGCTTGTATGGCAGCAAACTAAATCAGTGTTGCTCAATAGTATTTCTGACTTACCTTATTCTAGAGTAGACAATTAACTATGGACTTACAGAATATAGTAATGTTAATGCATCGTCTCATGCCTTTCTAGATTTATAATTATTATTGGTGATTCAGTGCTTTTACTCGGTGATTCAGGATTTCAAATGGCAGCAGACGCAATGCCTGAAATTACGACTCGATAAGGTTCTACAGATGCAGAAGCAGTGTCAAATTAGTTGTCGGATGCACCCATGGTACCCAGTTAATATGCTTCCAGCATACTACTATCTTGGTAAGTTCCATGCCCCAGTTCTTGTTGCTTTTTTTGTGACTTGCAGAGTCGAGTCTAATTATTGCTTGTGTTCTCTCCTAGGCCTGCAATGTGACAGTTTCCTATTACAGTTAAGTTTGTGTGGTTGATATTTTAAGGATCTTATTAAATGTGTCCACCCTATTTTGGTACATTGCATGAGAACCGGAAGAAATAGTAGAACTATCAGAAATATTGGCATTTCTAGCCTGAGATTTCTTCTCCTACTCTCTTAGGTGAGTAATCGCTTTTATTCTCCATCAGCATATCTATATTATTTATTCTTCATGATATGTACAAAGTATAGTTAACCTTTGTGTAATGTTTTCTTACCAGTGAACTATTATTCAGAAAACTCAAATTGATTGTTCCATCTATCTGTACAAGATGCTGCCAATACATGTAAGGGACGGATTTTGTATCTACACTGCAGTCTTTCTATTACTGCGTTGAAATTAATTTGTTGATTTATCACTTATTTTTGTTCTTTGGAAGCTAAAACAAATTCAGGTTGTCTTTTGAAAACCAAGATGATAGCGGAGGATTTTCCAGTGGTGGAGAAAAAATCCTAAATATCTAGTTATTGCATTGGTAAGTTTGGCTTGTGCATCTTGGTTAGTATACTTAATTAGCTCAAGAATAGACTATGAAAGACACCTTATGCCTTGTGCATTGATAAGAATAGACTCTGACGAGGCTTTACAATAGAATGTGAAGATTACTAAAAAACCTCTCATTCTAGATGAAAAAAACAAGTACTTGCTGTCCTTTGTAGTCTGGGGCTAAAGCAAAATCAGGTCCACCTTTTGAAAACAGGTTGTTGGTGGAGGGTTTCCCAGTAGCAAAGTGAAAATCCTGAAATCCTGAAATAAAAGTTGTGTGCTTCTATGCATTAATTGCATTTTGATGTTGCTTCTGCTTTTACTTAATTAGCTCAAGGTGTCCATATAGAATTGTAGACTAATTGAAAAGCTGCTACCGGGTATGCATCCTCCGTATATGATCTTTCAGCTTTTGCTCTAATCCATTTTTTATTTTGCTTTCTGTACATCAGGTTTCTAGCTCAAAGTTAACATTTCCTGAGTTATGAAGCATTTGAATGCTATCAGAGAGTAAATGTTATGAAAATGCAGGTTTTAGTTATGCTAAAAAAGTGTTCTGAAGAAACTGCGAATAGTTGGATAAAAATGCTAAATTTATGTTGTTAAATTCATGCTAGCTGTGTCATGTTACACCTCTAGACTACCATTTTATAAATGTTAAATTCATGCTAGTTGTGATGGTTTTTGGACAATAATCTTGTCTGTATAAATGAATAGATGAGATGATGAGCTCACCTATGTTACTTATATCAAAATTTATCAGGTTTGAGTGAACTGTGATATTAATCCAATGGTTCTCTGATGATCCAAGCAAGTTTCGTGATCCCAATCTCCGATTCAGGTGTGGAGCTAGGTAGCTTTGTGAGCAACTAGATGAGGTAGTGTCGTAGTCTGTAGGTCAGGGAAGTGGCCAGGCAATGGCTGTCCAGTTAAAGTTTATATAGGTGTTGGAGGCTGAGGCATAGAAAACCCTGACTTGAAGCTTCCAGACAGAAGCTTCCTTCCTCTATGTGATGAAAAAATTGTACTTGCTAGGATATGAACTTGCCAAACAATCATTGTAATATCCATATTTATCCATGCAATAGATGAGCTTGATTGCATATGAATAACTGTGAACCAATTGGCATATAAACTAAACCAACAATGTTGTGGTGGCTAATGGTTTGCCTCCGATGCTTTTATTGTTTGTGCTGGAAAATGGTCCTACTCTTATTGTCATTTTCTCTATAAATCTGGTCACAACATTTAATGCAAATCGTTTACATTCTCATGCTTTGTAGAAAACCAAAACGAATGAAGTGAAGTGGCTCTACGCGCGCATGGGTGCGCGCAAATCACTAGTATATCATCATTTCTCGGGTGTTTGGTTTCCCCTCCTAAACTTTAGTCGTTGTTCCATCGGATGTTTGACACATATATGGAGTATTAAATATAGACTAATTACGAAACTAAATGCACGGATTGAGACTACTTTGCGAGACAAATTTATTAAGTCTAATTAGTTCATGATTTGACAATGTAGTGCTACCATAAACATATACTAATGATAAATTAATTAGACTTAATAAATTTGTCTTGTGAATTACTGAAAAATTCTATAATCTGTTTTTTATTAGTATATGAATATCTCATGCGACACCGAATGACATCTGAATTGACATCTAAACTTTAGTACACTGATGAGACATGTCCATTAAGTAATTACTAATTACCAACAGTTGCCTTCTGAAAGGATGCCTGTTGGATGCACTTCACTTGCATATATATTCAATGGAACGGACGCATTGTTGGATGCACACTTGCATATTATATTCAAGAGATCAACGCACGCATTAAGATAGTTCTACCAATTGTTGTTCAGTTCTACATTTCACACTAACAAAAAAAAATGAACATAGGTACATATATTATTAAAAATACACTTATACATCGGACAGGAGATCAAGTGCTCCGCGTCAACTAAGTGCAGAGAAACTGAAGACTATACAACGGTTCCATCAATTGAACGACATCCAGAAATTCCTTCAAATGTCATATTCATAGAAATTCCTTCAAATGTCATATTCATAAATAGGAACCGAGACGAGGACTAGAAAATCTCGTTGCAAGATTGTCAGTATCATCTTGTTGAATCGATGTGTGAACGAGCTTCACTGCTTGAAGTGCTGCAAACAGATCTCTGATCAGATATCATATATAGCACTGAAAACTACCAACAAACCAAAGTCATGGAAGTATGCTACAAAAGAATAAGCAACAATGCAAAATTATTTCTATAACTTACATCTTTCTCACCACGAGCTTCCTTCAATTGCTCTGATAACTCCTCCCTCACTTCCTTAGCTGAAAATGAAAGTCGATCGTCATTAGATTAGATGAATATTACACAACTGACACAAGCAGCCAACACTAGCATAGTAATAAAATAGGTACGCAAATACTCTATTGATGTTCAGCAGTACTTATGTCTCAGTAAAACACAAATGGTAGAATTTGCAGCAATTTGATCAGAACCCTACCTTTAGACGATAGGTTCTCAAGAGTCCTGTTGGTCTTCACAGCAAACCTCTGGAATGCACGGCTGCAAAATATCATGCGACAATCAGTAACCAAACAATCACTTCACCAAAGCAAGCTCCAACCCAAAAATTTGACTAGCACAGCAAGTTCATTTATTAGGATATATGAGCTAATTGAATATAGTTCCTCGACGTCCAGCAGCATCAAACAAAAATCTGAGCTGGATAGCGAGAGGAACCACTGAGACTTTTGCTTCACCATTCCAAAGCTCATGAACCAAAAACAGCTCATGGGCATGAACCAAGAGAAGCAGCACAAACTAAAACCATACTATGGAAACTGAACCAAAAGTGGTACCAGCAAATAAACATATCATACAAAAATTTAGAGCATAAGGTTCATGACAATTGACAACTCAGTCCCTTAGATGTTCTTTGAATCATGCGATCATTTCCGCAATAATCATCACAGGTCTGTAACTGTGCAAGGACTCATCACTGTTAATAAAGACGCATCACTTCAAATCTAAGCATTAGAAACAAGAGAATGTCACAAGCCAGTAAACCTGTCAGAAAAAATATCTGGAACGATGAAATCATGACAACTCAGCCCCTTAGATGTTCTTTGAATGATGCGATCATTACCGCAACAATCATCACAGGTCTGTAACTGTGTAAGGACTCATCAATGTTATCATAAACATCATTTCAAATATAAACAGCTCTCTGAACATAAAGAAGCAGTCCCCAAGCCCCTAACATGTGAAAAGCTGAAAAAAACAACGTTTCAACCAGATCATCAGTCAATGCTTGTGGCCACCTGTGGCATCAGGCCCAAACTCCATTCTATTACAGTTGATAAACTAAAGGCAAATGAATAAGCTGTTGAGTAACAAAACTGCAACTCAGTGGCTTAGTTGCTTTTCCGTATCAAGCCATCATGACCCCAAGAATCATTGCAGATGTGTTAGGGCTCATCACCATGGTGGACACAACTCGAAAGCAATCCATGAAAGACAACTTTTTCTAACAAAACCATGTATGTAAGAGCCGTGCGGTGCCTCTGTTCATGGGGAATATCCAAAGGCACACGATAGAGCCGGCCCAAGATACAACGGGATTCTGTAGCTTCAAGGGAACGAGTCCATTGGGAACCGATCGGAAAAACCAATCCTCCCAACGACCAGATGACGAAGCGGCAACGAATCGCATCAAATCCAATCAAACCAATATCGATCGTAATTAATCGCGCGAGGTCGCGAGGCGCGGGTAAACGGATCTAGGGATAGGGTAGGATAAGGGGAGGGCTGAGAGGAGGTGTGCTTACTTGTTGGCGAGGCCCTCGACGAGGAACTCGTTGACAACGTAGCTCAACGCCCGCCCGAACAGGTTGCCGCCGGCCATGACGGAGGTCGGAGGCGAGGAGGAAGAAGCTTCCGGAGAAGGGAAGGGGCGTAGAGGGCAAGAGGCGGCGGGTCAATGGGAAGGCGTTAGATGGGCCAAGACTTATATATAGAAGAATGGTCGGAACCCTAGAGATAGATTTTTTTTGAGTGCGTCGGCCAGAGCTGGATTTGGGCTTCTGGTGATGAGACGCAGCATGTGAGGAGACGCGGCAGCTTAATGCGCCATTGGGCTGAAGGGCAGAAAATTTACGTCGGTTTCATGAGTGGGCCTTTACCAATGGCCGAGATCGCGTAGATAGCTTTCAAAATAACGTTCTTTCACTGAAAACAAATTTTAAACATTTAGTTTAAAAAACGAACATTTTTAAAGCTATAAGTTTTTTTCAGCTTGCATTTAAATAATGTTTTTTCTGCTTGCATTTAAAATGTTGGCTTGGAATTCTAGATCATTAGACTCGGGCGTGGCTAGCGCCCAGACGTTCGGAGCTAGCCCCGTCCGGATGCCCGCGCCGCTGCCCCCAGTCTCGCATCCCACGCCTACCCGCCAACGTCTCGTCGGCTGCGCCCGCCCGCGCTAGTGGGGACCGCCTCCGCTTTTCTGCACCTGACACCGAGGCGAGATAACAGAAAGGCAAGGAGGAAGATGCAACATTCGATCTAGTTTTGAAACATCCAGATGCAACAATTGCAACATACGTCTGAAAACAAAATGAAACATTTGAAACATGCGTCTGAAACATTAGCAAAAACACCTACAAAACATTTGAAACCATTGTAAACATATACAAACATCCAGACAAAACACTTGCATTTATATGTGTGAAAACATATGCAACATCCAGATAAACGTACTTGCAATATACGTCGGAAAAAAACAGACAAAACATTAAGAACAGGAGCTTGCAGCATACATGTACAACCATTGGAACATGTGCAACATCTTGATCTACTTTTGCAACATCCGTATAAAACACTTGCAACATACCTCTGAAACATTTAAAACACTAGAAACAGACGCTTGCAACATGCAATTTCAACGCAAACATCTCCTTGCTGCTTGGAGAATGGAGGCTCGTCGGCATGTGGAGTTCGCCGGAGGCAGCGGCTCGACGGTGGCCACGCGGCGGGGCAGGGAGGTAGTAGCCGCGCGCCGGGGTAGGGAGGCAACAGCCTCACGCCGCGACTCGCGGGCGGCTGCGCGCCTGGCAGGGTCGGCGCGCACGCAGGCAGCCGTGCGCTGAAACCAGGAGCGGGCAGCCGCGCGTCGCATCTGTAGGGTTGGCAGTCGAGCGTCGCATGCGGGAGCGGAGCCGAGCGCCGCGTGCAAGAGTGAAGCGAAGCGTGTGGGAGTTGATTTTGTTTTTTTATTAGGTAATCGAGACGTCCAGTCTTCCGGGCGTTTTAATGCTAGCATTACTCACTCCGTCACTCGTGAAGTTTCTTCGACCAGTCGCCATCTTTGCATACTATGTTATTCGAGTTGAAAATATCAAATTCGTATGAAAAGCTATGCAACATTACGGTCATACTAGTATAGTGCCCGTGCTAACGTCACGGCTTCATTTTAGGGATACACATAGGGCCTGTTCGCTTGGAGGAATTTGGATGGTTTGGAGGAATGCTGAAGGAATTTGTGAGAGAAAAACACTGTTCCGGATGAAAAAAGAAGCGGATCAAGCTGGGTTTAAGGGCACGCGAACGGGGCCATAAAAACAACCATCATATATTAGAAAAATAAAATAGAAAGAAATGGTTTATTTTCAGAGAAATATATAGAATAAACCATGACTTGAGCACGGTACATATATTTAATAAAGCATATAATTCCTATGCATCACAAGGGCAATAACCATTTCTCTCCATATTAATAATTTTCAGATTATATAAACTATCAAAACTAAAATTACCACTCTACAGTCTGCACTGCAGTTTGCTAGGAAGACAACTTAGGAAAAATTGCAATATTTTCAAAACTTTTTCAGTTCACCAATCCATCAACACAATTTTGGAAAGAAAAATATTGCTAGTATAGAGCAGCTCAAGCGACACATCGTCGTGGCTAAATGTGCAGATTCCACCAAAGCCATGGGAGCGAGGCAGAGACAGAAGGGTACATGAACTGACCAGCAGTACACTCGGCGACGTGGGGACTGAGGAACCAGTGGCAGTCCACTTGGCAGCTTCCTGGTTTTCCACCCGTCCACCTGCAGTGAGGCATCGTCATTGTTCTGCTTCTCTGTCCAATCCAATGTGCAACTCTGAAGCTGCAATAGTTGTAAAAAGTTACAGAAGAAGGCGGCAAATCCGTACCAACTTGTTGTAGGAAACGAAGCAACAATTCAAGAGACAAAGGCTGTGTTCGGCTGGTGTAGTGTACAGTGATTTTTGGATTGTTTTGGATGATTGAATAATATTCTGTGAGAGAGAATAAGCTGAAACAAGCTATGGAAGTGTACCAGCCGAAAAAGAAAAAACAACGAATTGCATCCCAACCTGAGACGAAGCATCCAGAACCATATAGTAGATTGGAGAAGAGTATTGATCTAGTAGACGAATGGAACAACGAACCAAGGAAGCTATTGCAAAGACAAGCGAACAAAAATCTTAGTGGACAAAGACAAATACCAATGCAATGCAATTAAAAAGGGAGGTGTTCTTTAACATCTCATACTGGAATTAACACTAATGCAATCAGGAAAAAAAACATTGGAACTTCTCATAGTACAAGTAGATGAACCAATGCACCAAAATGTTCTATTTTGGGATCTATCCCGAAATCCTTTTTCATTTTGTGAAATATCTCTAAACCCTCTGAGACCAACCCAGCATGTCTGCAAGCAGTCAGCATAAGTACACTAAGATCATCCAATGCAACCCTTTCTGCATCCATTCGATGGAACAGCATGATAGCATCCAGACCATAACCATGAGTTCCAAGTCCCACAATCATCACATTCCAAGTGACCTCACTCCTCTCAGCCATGCTTTCAAATATCAACATACGGCCTACAGGCCTCCAGGTAATGTGAAATGACTAATTTTAGAACAAATTACATGCAACCTACGCCCTACAGGCCTCTCGGTTCTTGTCCCTTTGTGGCTTGATGAATCAAAAAAATTAGAACAAATTACCTGCAAATTGAAGTTATCAGATCAAACAGACTGTTGCAAGACGCCAGGCCCTAACTGAACTGAAATCACTTACTGAGTTACCGTCTTCAACCTTCAGGTTTCAATCCGCTGCGTTAGCTGCTCGCTGCCGCCCGCTGGCTAGCGGCCAGATACTATCACGGGGAACGCCGGAACACCCGCAGCCCACCGCAGCACGCCGTCACCACGTCAAGCGAGGTCCTAACCCCCTCCTCACGGCCTCGGAGTGAACCACGAGTTCGGCCCTGCAGCTAGGTGCGTAGCCGTAGGCCTTGAGGACATCGGGGGACGTGTAGGCGTCAGGCTGCACGCCGCAACGGCGCATCCGCGTGAAGTAGAGCAACGCGGCGCGGGGGCGTGCAACGGCGTGGAGGCAGACGCAGTGTTTCAGGGAAATGGGTCGCGGGCGGCGGGCTCCGGGAGGGGCTCGAAGATGGCGTCCGCGATTGCGGCGGCGCCGGGAACGGATGCGGAGGCGAGGAGGAGGAGGTTAGAGAGGCGCAGCGTGGAAGTGGCGAGGTCCTCCCACCGGCGGCGGCGACTCCCTGTCCCTGGTTCTGGGCGTGGTTGTGGGGGAGAGGAGTGGGCACGTGGGATCCAAGTTCTACGGTCGCTCGACCGTATTTTTTGCTTTTGATCCTTTTTTCGAAAGATTTTCACAAATATACCCTTGGAAGTATTCTTTCAAAAAAATAGACTCTGACCTCAGCGTCGTGATAATTAGCACCGAGCTTACACAGGCCCAGGGTCATTTTCTGTGTGTCGTTGACGTGGCCACCTACGTGGCGCGGACGTGGCGTGAGCTTGGCGCCAGCTCGACGTCGTAGATCTTGGCGTCGAGCTCGTGCCATGTCGCAGTCTCGCTCGTCCTTGTCACCATTTATGAGCCATGATGTTGTCGGCATGGCCATGGTATTTATTGGCGCGCGTCTGGCTGAAGGAGGGGATACAATGCGGGCAGCAATTTTTTTCATCAAACAATACAATGGGGCTAGGGCTTTGACTGCACATCACCGATGCTCTCGAATGGGGCTCATGACGTGCATGTGCAGGCACATAAGCACGGACGCAACAGACCTCATGGCCTGTAAGCACGTCATGACTGGTAAGCACGTGAAAATATGGCTGTCTAGAATTTATGACCATGGCTATGTCTGGGTTTTTACCGTGGCTGGCCCTGTTCGTTTCGCTGAAAAGCTAGGCTAAAAGTATTGTTTGCTGATTTATTATGAAAGAAAAACATTGTTCCTTCGCTAAAAAAATGCGGCTGATAAGTCAAGGTCCAAACTTAATGAGACTTATTTTGTTGTCATCTCCTTAGAGAGTATTCAAACTCGTAGTGAGGTATCAAATTGGGTTGCTATACAATTTTAGAAGATAAAATATCGCAAACATATCAATTCACTGTTGACGATCAAGGACTTAGAAAGATTTGGAGGGGCCAAAAAAGCACTGTATTAACACTTGTGGTCACTATTTGGCCATGTTAAAGACTGATTTAGGTTTAGGTCCAAAAGCAAAGTTTGTTGTACTCAACTCAAACTACAACTTCTATTGAAGGTCAAACTTCATATCTAGAAAAGAGGCTATAGTTTTACCCTGGTCAAAACAACGTCGTGAATAAAGGAGTTAACTATTGATCCAACACTTAGAAGCATTTTTAAGCTAGTTCATGAACATAAACCCTAGATTATTTTTTATCTTAAGCATTTCTAGATTACCTTCAGTGATCAAACAACAAGTCACCGTAAAAACTCTGAGTTAGCCACATTTCTCAATATCCAAGTCATGTTTAGAATTCAAATTTGTCAATTTCCGGAGCTCGGCGCCGTAGCAATTGGCGTCGAGCTCATGCCACGCCCGCGCCACGCAGGCAGCCACATCAACGACACGTGAAAATGATCGTGGACCTCGGCGCCGCTTTGGCGCCGAGACGTGTAAGCTCGGCGTCAATTATCACGGCACCGAGGTCAGGGTCTATTTTTTGAAAGAATACTACCAGGGACGTGTATTTGTGAAAATCTTTCGAAAAAGGACCAAAAAGCAAAAAATTTGGGTCGCTCGAGCAGATAGGATCATATAGAAAAATAAAAAAGTCGTGAGGATCCTGGAATCAAACCGTGGCTGATGGTGGGGGTCGGCGGCGGCGGCGAGGTCCTCCAACCGGCGGTGGCGACTCCCTGTCTTCTGGGCCTGGTCGTGGGGGCAGGGCCCTAGTAGAGGAGATGCGGCGGGTGCGACGCCCTAGGGCCCAGCTTACTTAGGGGTCATTGTCCAGCCCAACGACAGCCTTGTCACAAGATGCCAGCCCATTATGATTTAGGAATACTGGCCTGTTAACTTGCGTGGCTGTGTTGCCGGCTTGCCGCCGCTTCACGTTGCGACTTCGCGAGTCGCCACTGCTCGAGTCCTCGTGTCCTTCCTCGAGACGAGCTCGGAACGACAGAACTCAGAGAGACGTCGCTGCTCACCGCCGATCCGGCAGCGACTCAATGGCACCTGCTCGCGTGCGCCAAACCCAGGTGGCCAGCTATATATATACCCTATGTATCCGACAGTACTGATCTCGACACCGTCCTTAACGATTTTGCATCCAGAAAAGCCCAAAGAAGTCTCTTTTCATAATGGGAGTTTGATTTTATTCAGGATTTTGAGGTAATCAAATTAGTGTAATTTTCTTGATCTTCTAGTCATTGTATCTTGATATTGTCATTGCTCGTCAATTAACTCCTCTGTATATATATACCTTTATATACAATTACATATTAGCACATATATAATTAAACATATATGTAGCCATAAGGGCCCATTGTCAAGTTCGCCCTAAGGCCTTTGAAAACATAGAACCAGCCCTGCGTGGGGAGAGGAGTCGGCGCGTGGGATCCAAGTTCCGTGGTCGCTCGAGCAGATAGAATCATATAGAAAAATAAAAAAAGACGCGAGGATCCAGGAATCGAACCGTGGCTGGTGGTGGGGGTCACGGGCGTGGGCGTGGTAGACGGAAGGGGATGAGGAGGACCATGCACAAAATTCTAATCGTCAGATTTGAGTGAGTAAGGAGAGAGAAGATTTAGAATCAATCTGGATGGTTGATTTTTATGGAGTTAGTTTTCTGGGTACATATTTGGGGGTGCATGGAGGGGTGCTATCTCAGCGAGGGAGGTTATACGAGGTAGACCAAGCGATGAATATGATGGTGCATTAGTATGGTAGATAGACGAGGGGAGCAACACTTAGTTCGTTGACGAGCTAAAGTTTTATAAGGTATGCAGAGTGTAGTTTAGTGGTTGTATGGTTTTTAGGTCCGTTTTTTTTATTATAAACTAGATCAATTCTCTTCTCTTTATTATTAATATATGCCACAACAATATCGCTCTGCTCTCTGGAAACTCGTGTGGAACAGTTGGGCTCTAGCAAAATGCGAATTCTATCTCTGGCTACTCTTACAAAACCATTTATGGACAGTTGAGAATGGCCAAATGACTACTTCTGTCCCCTACTATTTCAAGAAGGATCAGTGTTTGGAGTGACTGTCCCAAACTGCACCCTGATAACTGAACTGAAACATCAAATCTGTAAGAATAGATATTGGACAGTCAGCAAGGACAGCAAGACAACACATTCTCTCGCTATCCTAACCATCTGGACCGTCTGGATTTTGGAAGCAGCATAAGTAGAGAATTTTTTAGAAAAGAGAGAAGCCGACAAATACATCTTCTCTTAAATACACGATGAAGCCCTCATGTCGAAGTCCGGTGGAGCAAAGATAGTTGACAGTGTTGGTGCTCTCGTTGCTACTGAGGAGTACATAAATTATTTCCCCCCTATAATCTCTAATGGTCTAGTAGAATTGGGTTGTAGGCTCATCTTGCACAAAACTCTCATCTTCTTATTAATATCGATAATGATATGCCTCAAGCGTCCGGACACCCATTCTTATCTTCTGCAACACAGAGAGAAACAGCCCCATCTGCGACACGGAGAGAAATAGCCCATCTGCGACAAGCTCGATGTGGAACCCGAGGGGCGGAGGTTGCGCGGGCGGAGGTTGCGACGGCCGCACCGTTGAGCTCCGCTCGCACCGTTGTTGGTGAGCTCCACGTGTGTGCTGCCGCTGCCGACCTCCACGACAGATGCTCCAGCAAACAGGCGAGGGGAGGAGCTCTGCGCGCCGCCGCCGCACTAACGAGCCTCCACTTGTCCGACGCCGCCATCGAGCTCCCCATGCCGGCGAGCCTCCACTCGCCAAGCATCAAGATGCTGCTGCATTAGAAGCGTATATTGCAAATATATGTTTCAAGTGTTTAAACTGTTTCATACATATGTTTCAAGTGTTTTTATCTGAATGTTGCAAAAGTTTATCTTAAATGTTGCATATGTTGCAGTATTCTACGTAACCATGTTTCATAGGTGTGTTGTATATGTTGCATACAGAGAAGGGCGCAGCGAGACCAAGCGCGGCGGAGGAAGGGGCGTGGTGAGGGATAGGCGTGAGCGTGATGCAGGGGATGAGAGTGGGCGGAGACAGGTGGTCGCAGGGTGACACGGGCGCGCGCAGGGACACAGCGGGATGCCGCAGGTGACGCAGACGCAACGGGCACGCTCCTGTTTCTGTTACGCGGGGGACGGGGCAGGGCGTGGTGGGTGCGCTCGAATGAGAGTTGCATCTGGAAACGGGCGTATGTCCGGACGTCCACCGAATTAATATACGCTGGTAATGAACACAGATCTTTAAAAAAAAGAATGACACTTGTTTTTGGCACACATGACACATGCTACTACGCTAGTACTTTGCAAGGCATTTCGTACTTGCAAACCGCCCTCTGCATGCGCCGAACAGGCCTGGATCCGGATCCGCGCGTCCTTGACCGCAACTGCACCTCGCATGTCCCTTCAAGCTCCCGCCGGCGTCCTAGTCCTACTCGACACCTGGACTGGACGCCGCCATGCTCTGGAGTGGACACCCGATCCATCCGGGCTCAGATCAGTTGATCGCTTCCTCTGTTAGTTACAAGCGGTTGCTTGGACTTGGACAGACTGCTCGTTTCGATAGTTCCGCCGCAATCCATCTCTTCTTCAGTGCTGTGAGCGGCTGCACTGCTGCGCACCTAGCAGATGGTCGGGTGGAGAAAGGCGTGGCTGTCGGTGCGGGACCGGGCCGCCGCCGGCGGCAGCACCGGCTCACTGCAGGCGCACCTGCAGGGCTTCCTCCACTTCCCGTCCTTCCTCGCCAACTACAAGCGGGGCGGTAAGTACGGGAACGGCCACGTGAGCGGCAAGGCGGTGGCGGCCTGCTTCGCCGTCGCGCTCGCGCTCGCGCTCGCCTTCTTCTACGCCTCGGTCACCAGCGGGCCCGCCGACGACGGCTCCTTCCCTTCCCCGGCCGCCGCTTCCTCCTCCGCGCTTCTCTTGCCGTGGCTGTCGTGGAACTCGCCGTCGTCGACGTCGCCGAAGAAATCGCTTCCAACACACCCTCCTCCCGTTCCTCCTCCTGCCGTCACTGCGGGCGGCGCTGATTATCACCCGACCGACGCGCGCAACCGCAACGCAACCGTGGTGTCGCGTCGCGTGCAGACCGGTGCGGTGGGGGACTCGTCGGGTTCGGAGGTCGGCTTGGGGCAAGCGACGTCGGCGCCCCGTCAGACGGGCAGCGCGCAGGGTCTCCCCCTGCAGGACGCCGGGAACGCCACCGTGGGTTCCGACGCCGAACCCACCAGTAACAGTAACCGCACCAGAGAAGATGAACCGCAAGTGGAAACCACGACGCCGATGCTGCAGTGGGGAAGGACAGGCGGAGACGGTCGTCCTTCCCACGACGCCGTCGTCGCTGGTGCTGCCGGTCGGCAAGCGGCGACGAACGCTGACGTTGCCACCGGCAACTCCAGATACACAGGGACATCGAGCAGAGAAGAAACAGCCAAGAACGCCGCCGCTGGCTACGTCCAGAACGTGGCACGGCGAGCGGCTCTGCCATCACGACCGGAGCGGAAGTTGGAAAGACACAGGCGCAGGAGAGCCGTGAGGCACAGGCACCCGAGGCGACGGAAGGAGATCATGCTCTCGGCGCAAGATCTCGTTGTCGCTGCCGAGCGGAGCCACGAGGAGATGGCTGGCGTCAAAACCAGCTTCGCCGTCGGGGCAGGCAATGACGTGGTTGGCGTGAACACCAGCATCGCCGTCGGGCCAGGAAATGACCTGGCCGCAGGCGTGAACGCCAGGCCGGGCATGGTCGGGGGCGGCAACAACCGTGTCGTGTGGACGTCCGGCGTGCAAGACCTGGTTTCCTTCGCCAAGTGCGACGTGTTCAGCGGGAGGTGGGTGAGGGACGAGAGCTACGGGTTCTACCCGCCCAAGTCGTGCGCACTCATCGACGACGACTTCAACTGCCACAAGAACGGCCGGCCGGACAGTGACTTCCTCAGGTGGCGGTGGCAGCCGCACGGCTGTGACATTCCCAGGTACTCCCTCCTGTGACATTTCTGAAACTGAACTTCATGCGATATCCTCACAATCTTACGACGAGGCTCACGTCGCTCCAGGCTGAACGCGGCTGAGTTCCTGGAGAGGCTGAGAGGGCAGAGGATCATATTCGTCGGTGACTCGCTGAACCGGAACATGTGGGAGTCTCTGGTCTGCATCCTTCGTCATGGTGTCAGGAACAAGAGGAACGTGTATGAGGCGTCGGGGAAGAACCAGTTCAAGACCAGAGGATACTACTCCTTCAAATTCAGGGTACAGACGTTTGCCCACTACATGAGATGAGAACTCTTGAATTTCATCAATTTTGTTCTTCTCAGTGTTGTTAAATCATTGCAGGAGTACAATTGCTCGGTTGATTTCATAAGATCAATATTCCTCGTCAAGCAGATGATTTGCGAGGGCAGAAACGGTACTGAAGATGCAAAGCTGAAACTGGATGAGCTAGATGCGACGACTCCAGCATACCGGACTGCAGACATCGTCGTCTTCAACACCGGTCACTGGTGGACTCACTACAAAACATCAAGAGGGTACATTGTACTTTCTGGACTGAGTATCATCAATTTCTTTCCATAATTCAAACATTGCTGAAGTACTTGCTAGTCCACAGGCTGAACTATTACCAAGAGGGCAACCATGTGTATCCCAGCCTTGAGGTTTTGGATGCATACAAGAGAGCTCTAGTCACCTGGGCTAGATGGGTGGACAAGAACATCGATCCGAGAAGGACTCAGGTTGTATTCAGAGGATATTCACTCTCACATTTCAGGTAAGACATCGCCACTATGCTGGTTGATTGTTGGCGCCATATTTTCTTCGTCTGACAATGATAAATTTTGCAACAGAGGAGGGCAGTGGAATTCAGGAGGGAGATGCCACATGGAGACAGAGCCAATATTCAATCAGACACATCTTTCTGAGTACCCTGAGAAGATGGTAATCTTGGAGCAGGTCTTGAGGCAGATGAAAACTCCCGTCATATACCTCAACATCAGCGCACTCACCGATTACCGAAAAGATGGCCATCCATCAGTCTACCGGATACGTTATGATACAGAGGAGGAACGAATGGCAATGGTGAAAAGGCAGGACTGTAGTCACTGGTGCTTGCCTGGCGTGCCAGATACGTGGAATGAACTGCTGTATGCTTCGCTGCTTCAGGCAGGCAAAGGCTCCTGGAAATTGTGAGAGGATGGTTACAAACAAAACATTACGGATCATCTATTCATATGCCAAAGCAGAGACATCTATTACAGATGATTCATGAAGCTCTGGTCTGTAGTTATAATTGGATATAATTGCAAATCCTGTGTTTCCTGTAGGCCCATTCCTAGCACAAAATAATTAGCACAAGGATAACCTTTTAGATTTTGTTCCCCTGTAGTTCATGTACTGATGTACATATGAGACCTCAATAGCAGATTTTTTTAGGGGACTCAATAACAGATGTAACATGTCAAATGGATACTGGACGTTGAGAACTCATACCGCAGGATTATCTTCAAATAGATTCTTTGCATGAATTTAATTAGCAGAATATAAGGTTTTCCAGCTATTTTTTTACGGCAAGCTCTTCCAGTTATTTGACTAGAGCAGCTGGTTTCAGAAGGGATGAAGAACATTGCCAATTCAGATAAAACCGAAACATAGCAGAGCAGTACATCGTTTCATTTTTTTTTGGATAAGGATCGTTTCAAATTTTTAGAAGATCAATACGTCAAAGAAGAATTATTGACATACCTTTTGTAACCTGAGTGCCAAAAAAAAATACAGTATAACAAAGCCCCAAGGGCAAGGTCTAAGGTTCCTACTTTCAGAAGGCAATAAAAAATTAAAATACAGGTATGATAGGTCATTTCTACCAGTCCAGAAATACTTTGTTGCTTGCCAACATGCACAAGATATGTCCTACTCTCTAAGACAGGCCAAAGGGAAGTGTCTCCTTTTCTCGCTCCTCTTTCCATTTCTTCTTATCATCATCATATTTCAGATAACAGTTTTCTTTATATCAACCAAAAATATTCTCCCTTGTACTGATGTACAGTCAACAAAATATATTCTCCCTTGTAGTGATGTACAGCTCAACTATGACTTACAATTTACAAGCAACAACAGCAAGTGTTAAAATAATTTGAAACAACATAATAACAGCAATACAAATACACCATCAACAATACATGCTCATTTCCAACCCCTAGCATGAGAAAATAATCAGTAGACAGTCCTGGGGGCAAAGACAAGCAAATGATATAACAAGCAGCAATTCATTTATAGTAGAATGTTTCTGGAGTACACATGAGACAAACATTGTCTCGTCAATGTATACACAGATCATCACACATGAATACTTAGGTTATTTGTCTTCCGCCTGACACAACTAGGCGGTAAAAGAGAGAGAAAAAAAGGGAGGACTCCTAATGGAATCCGCCATTGCCGTATTGTGACTTGCCGGTTTGTGCGTACCTCAGCTGACCACCAGGGAGGTCAGGAAAGGCACCATGAAGCTGAATGCTTCTTGAGGAGCTCAGTTTCCACTATCCATCCTCATGCAGCTTTAACTCTCAAGAACCATGTAGATGCTCAAGCCATGCATCTTCCATGGTCTGTGGGGGTTGTGAACAAGGGGTGGGGAGAGGGGCTAGTTTGTACCCGGGTGAGAATGATGATGTCTGCAGGTGATACTTGTCCAGCTATATATATTGCAAGAACTGGGAATCTGCATGGTGGCATTTTATATTGGCCAGCGCAGCATGTTTTAGTGAAGAAAGGACAATAAAAGTTGGACCAAAGTTTACTGTTTTAAGTGCTCATTTGCTGGAACTCACACCAGTGCTGTTATTGCCTCGTCAGATGTCAATTCGAACTATATTCCTTCCCCATATAAATTCCCAGTCCACTTCCCGACCTAATGTTATCCGAAAGCATTTTACTCAAGAGAACATTTCATAACCTAATGCACGATCTGCTGGACGCCTGCAAACACTACTAAGGAGCTGCTATCCCGTTCCAATTCTGATGGCATATATACTATTAAAACTATTGACTACCTCTTTTACAGCATAGAAAATGTACATCGTTATCTCCGCCATTTGATTTTTATTCATTGGTTTTTGCACTTTCAGTTTCTCCAATATATTAACAAATTTTCAGTTATTATGTAGATATACAAGTTCCTTATCAACCTGGGGCTTAAAGCCTCGTTAAGTGTTGTTTATCAATAAATGATATTCAATAAGTGATATGGAACTAAATCAAAATCAACTGACAAGCAATAAGGGAAAAAAGTTGCCTTTACATAAAGCTAAATGAACACTTTCCACCTTTAGAGCTATTCCTTTTAACAATGTGGAACTAGAGCAATGTGGCCTTCCTGTTCAACCACTAGCTCATGCTTATCCAAAGCATTGCACTTCCTAATTTTGAAGTGTAATAAAGAAGGATGGCCGTCAATCTACTTAAATCAGCTCCTGATACAATGCTATTAAAGTTGACAAGATCTTAGTTTCATGTAAGATAATACTCTCCAGTCTCAACTAAACTATCCTTAAGTATTCAGAGATAAATTCAAAAGATCACCTGCATGTAGTTAGTGGATGTCTGTTTCCACTAGGACAGGGAGGAAATCACTACCACCAATTGTGGAGCGCCACCAAAGTGGAATTTAGTTGCTGGGCACAAGTGGACCACCAACAGGATTTCTGAACTATGACTCCTTTTAATACATGGCTGAGGTGTGAAGATAGTAACCTCTCAGAGATGCACTCAACAAATGACAAGAACCAATGTTCCAGGTCCCTGCCAGTGGCGACTGGTTATCACTAGTAACTTTTTTTTTGCGAGGAGATTAGCATTAGTAATTGAATATGGAACATTGTTGATTTTATCAAAAACCATCCAATTTAGTGACTAGATACGAAATTTTGTAGAGAGGCTAAATCTTTGTAGCATCAGTCATTATTGCTCACACTTAATGTTTGACATCCGGAAAACAAGTTGTGGATGATAATATCTTTTGTGAATAAATTTTGGTAACAACATTCATGGCTAAATTACCAAGCCCAGTGGTCGTTCCCTATGAAGGCTTCAATGTGGCTCTGGGTAAAGTAGAAAAACACATGTAAAAGTGCACCTGTTTTAGAAAACTACAGATGCAAACCAGTGCTCCAGAGTTCTCTCATAATCTATAACAGTAAAAACCTGATACAAATTTTGTATGAAATTGTAATTTGATCAAAAATCAATCTGTAAATAAAAAAAATACAAAACTTATTATAGAATCGTGATGAATAAACTAAAGTGGGTTTTAGTTCTTCAAGCATATGGTCAGGAATTTTTTTCCCCTTCTTCTGGACAGATTTTGGACAAATGCCAGCTTGGTGATATAGTTAGGCAAAGCCCGATGAAATTGGACTCCACAGGTAATGCATTCTTTTGAGCACAGGCAAATGTAAAAATTTAGGATGCAGGAATAAGAAATTTCATTTGGTTGATCCTATAGCCCTTCCATAACGATATTGACATTGAGATTATGAGATATTTCCTGCAGTTGTCGAGAATGGGGAAAACTGGAGTGTCAGGAAGAGGCAACTATTTTGCCTCGGAAGGGTTCGTAACACCGTTGGTGTTACGAGCTTGCTTAGCATCGAGATTTAGGTCCGAGAGGGATTAGCCTAACAAGTTTTCGGGTTTTAAAAATTTATACCGCACGTGAAATGATAAGTGAATCCTATGTGACTCACTTTTGTGGACTCAAATAAATATCCAAGTTAACTCACTTGGTGCGTAAAAGTGCTAATGAAAATCCTAACGTGAAACATGGGATAGGTCGTTTTAATTATTTGGCACGAAAAACAATTTCTATGAACAAAAATAAAACATAACTTGTATTTAGCATCTAAATAAAAATGGAAGTAAAAGTTTAGTAGATGGAAATGCAACTTTAACTTTTGGAAAATAAATATTGTTAACTAGTGTTTTGGGAGCTCAAAAATTGAATCCAAAATTTAAATAGAACTTTTTGTTGAATCAGCAAGAAGTCGAAATTGTAGTTAAAGTGTTATTTTTGGCGAATTAGGTTGAGCGAAATAATTAAAGAGTGCTTAAATGTTTTGCTCGTATGGGTTAGTATAAGGTATGGACTATTGTGTGAAATACTTGTTGGTTGAAGTTAACAAGGTTTAGACTTATTAAAAATTACGATAAAAGAGTTAATGGTTACTTAGCCCCAACTGAAATCCTTAACTTTTCTAAGTATGGAAAAGTAGTAAGATAATGCTATTTTGAAATTTAATTTCTAACAAAAATGTTTAAACACTAGCTGTATATTTTGGTATTGTTGATTGCATCAAATTAAGTGCTTGAGCATGGCATAGGTTGAAGTTGTGTTGGATGTGACGTTGCACTCGTAAAAATTGCCCAAACTTCGTTGGAACGCACTGTAAACCATGTTGTTGGCGCTCTGTTCGTGAACCGGCACTCCAGCGACGAACCCAAGTTGGCATCCTTTTATCTCCCTCTCTGGTTACTCTCGGGTCATGACGATTGCTCCGCTAGCTAGCTGGTAGTGTCGACTTTATGTTAGTAGGATTGGTTGAACTTTGGTTGAGATGATCGGCATCCTTTGCTTCGCTTTAAAATTCGTGCACGTCATATGCTCGGCTTTGCGCGACGGTCACCCATGGCGTCATTGGCCATTGCAAGCGTAGGCAGCTAACCAGCGTTCAGCGCGCCTTGATGCCGATGTCTTTCGGTCGGGCTGTATGGCGATGGGTTGGCCGTGTGCCCGGCCAGTGAAAGCCGTTGTCGTCGCAGCGTGCTTGTTCCGCCGTCGTCGCGCTGCCCCACCACCTGCTTCTGCTGCGCGCATAGGCTGCGCCGCATTGGGAGGGCTACCGCTGCGCTACGCCGGTGTGGCCGTTGTGCGGTCGCGGACCAACTTGTGTGCACGGATGGTGCCATGCAGCGCCTACCGGCACTGGTGTTGGGCGGCCCCCGGTGGCACGCGTGCGGCTCGGCCGTGCGTGCGTCCGGTTTGCCAAGCCGAGAAATTTCGTCGCCGCTAACGTCGCTTGGTTGATGTGGCGTCTGCCTCACCCCTCGTTTCACCTACCGCGTCGAGGCTCTAGGCAGGTGTCAATGCCGCCGCATCTGGGCCAATGACCTCGGTTGTAGGGGCGATGGTGATGCCC